AATACAGAAAAGCACATCATGACTTTCCCAAAGACCTAGTACAAAAAAAATACAACAGGCACATTTGGATTTTTTTTAATCTCAGCATAAAGGCAGATTTAATAAATTTGCAAGAATAATTTTTTAAATTTATTTCTATGAGTGAGAGTGACATCTATCTCAGACAGAAAAAGACAGAGACAGAGACAGGCACCCCCAGCAGATTCTTCCTGCAGCCACCATTCCCAGCCAGCCCTGTCTTAAGGACTCATGTACACTTAGCATGTTCAGGGATATCTCTAGATGCAAACTTGAGGCCTTCTCTTGTGGGTCAACCTCACAGAGCACTGGAGTACTTTCATACAACTGACCAGCCCCCAATAGAAAAAAAAAAATTAAGGATTTTTGCCATAGGGTATGTGTACTCATTGGAGAGAGAACAGACCATGAGAGAGAAAGTGAGAAATAACCCCCAGGAGGGGATGGTCACGCCACAATCCCTTCTCTTTCATTCTCCTCCTGGGATTTTGGGCACACATGCACAAGCACCTGGCATGATTATCAAGTTGCTGTGTCTGGGACTCAAACCAGAGTCAACCATGTAGGAGTTCAGCACTGTAACCACCATACTACCTGCTGGGCCCAGAAAGAATTTTTAAGAGCGCAAAATGTGTTAACCTGGGCAACTTTTAGCCTTAGAGTTTCTGTTTGACCCCTATCTCAAATTAATCTGAGCATTACATATTATAGTACATAGTGGACAATAGAGAAGCACAACCACAACTAGAGGCAAAGTAAAATACTTAAAAATATAATGATTTGATTTAGTGAGAAAAGACTTGCATGAATACAACATTGGTTTCTAATAATACGAATAGCTGTGCTTTTTAAAATGCTCTCTTTTTTTGGAAGACAGCATTTAGGAAATGAATTTTAGGATTCAAAATGGACTGACTTTCTCAGCTTTAAGGCTAGTAAGATGTTGCAGATGATATCGGAAAACATTATAAAGAATTCTTTTTGGCATTGTGAGAGTCAGCTTGGGCAGAAGAGTAAAGTGTTGGGGCAGAAAGGAAGAGATAAGTGAAAGGAAGAGGAAAGAGATCAAGTCATTACTTTTAGAATTTCTAGGACCTATTCAGCACTAACTGACCTATTGCTTAGGATAAATATGGTCCTACTGTCATGTGTCAAATAAAAGCAGTATTTAAACAGCACCAAAAAATTTGCATAGACTTACACACATTAACAATTCTTATTTACAGTTCCTCTTTCTGGTAGTCTTAATTTTTGTCAAAGTTATAGCAGAATAATTTCTTCTCTGAACAAAAATATATATGTATATATGATCAAATATTCAACTGTGAATATAATTGAATGAAAATGTATTCAAGTTTAAGTTCATTTTCAATATATAAGTAAATTTGATAATAGTCCTCTAAGTAACAAAGTCAAGATCCTGGCCTGACACACTGTCCGTTTTCCACATCCACTTCTCAGGTGGCAAGATACTTTTTATAGTATAGCTGCTTCACATCTTCACATGTCTCATTTTAACCATTTTAACCACAATAAGATTACTGATTTGATTATAGCTGATGTGCTGTCGCTTTGATTTTCTTGAGGGAGACTTGGATTTCCCTTTATTTTGTCATTCAAAGAATGTTTTAAAAAGTTTCTTATTTATTTATTTATTCCATGAATGAGAGATACAGAGAAAGAGAGAGAGAGAGAAGGGGGGAGAAAGAGAGAAAGAAAGAGCACTTGGGACAGAATCTTGTCACCACAATCGTCCCTAGGTTCTGCCAGCCTCAGGTTATGGGCACATCTTTGCCTGGTATACTCAGAAAGGTCTTCAGCTATCTGAACCTTCCCATATGGGTCAGCCTCTCAAAGAATTGGGTTTTATTGCCGCACTGTGGTCCAACCCGTCAAAAAATAATTTTAAAAAATCCAAGTCCTGAATTCTGTTTACAATTTTGCATCAAATAAAAAAAAGTAATTTAAATTGCAGAGTTAAATTGAGCAAAAACAATTTAAATCAGTCAATCTCCTGAATGGCTTCCATGGAACTCCGGATAACCACATGGTGGGGATGCAAGAAAGAGAAAGCGACATACAAAAAATGGAAGTGAGGGAATTAGGTAGAGAAATAATTGGATTTTTTAGTTTGATGTTTTCCTGCATTAACACAGTTTAAAGGGTACACTTCTGTGACTACTGTAATTGGCAGTTTTAGACTTCTTTGTTATTCATCATGATCTAATCAGAGAATATAGGTTGTATAAGTTATTAATGGGAATTTACTAAATTTCCAGCCTTATTTAAAAAGCAATTGCATAGAAAGTTATAGGTTCATGTATGTAGAGATCTCTAAATATGCCAGGCATATAGATGCCCATGGCCAAAGCTGGGGATGGATTGCAGTGTCAAGACCCTGTTGGGAGGACTCTTCCTCTCTCTCTCAAAAAATAAATAAACTTAAAAAATAAAAAATAAAAAAGTAAATCAACATAAATAAGTATATTGCAAAATAAAGGAAATATCTTGTTTTCCTGTACTTTCCCAGATGTACCAAGTAAGTGCCCTTCAGGTCAATTCTTTTAATTAAAAATATGACATGGCCTTTCATTCCCTTTTATTGTAGTGCCTCCTGAAGTGTAGCCATTGTTTCCAGACTACCATTCTCAACTTTTTAATTTTTTTTCTGTGGGGATGAGAAGAAGGATTGCTAATGGTTTTAGTGAGAGAGATGTCTCCTACTCTCACTTTTTTTTTCAATACTGCTGTATTTAGGAATATTAAAATTGAATTAATTTTTTTATGACTGTGAAATGTGTGTGCACACACACAGAAGAGACACAGAACAGAGCAGGGGAAAAAAGTACCCTTAAGAGAGTCTGGTCATTATATGATACCTTCTCTCCAGTTCTCGAGCTCCTTGGGATCCTAGCCGCTTGGCATATCTTGTGGTTGACCCAGAGATCTGATCCGGTAGTTGGCCATATGACTTCTAGGCTCGTGTAGGGCACTTGTGTTACCACTGGGTCACGGTAGCCAGGCTTAAAATTTGACTTCCTTAATTGACAAATAAAATTATATATGGCTATCGTGTACAAAATGATGTTTTGAAATATGTATACATTACAAAAAGGCTAAATAGAGCTTATTAACATATATGTTATCTCATATATATTTTTTGTGGTGAGAATGCTTAAAATTTACTCTCTTAGGCCAGCAGATGGCATGGAGGTTAAGGCACTAGATCCTAGATGACTAACTGCAAACTGAGAACCAGACCCAGTGGCTTGAAAATCACACTGGGTACATGTACACACGTTTACAAAATCCCACGAAGAGACTGGAGGAAAAGGGATTGCAGCATAGCCATCTCCCCTGAGGGGGGGGGTGGTTTCTCACTCACTATCTCTCTGTCTGTCTCTGTTGAGGACAATTCTATAGCCAAAAAAAAAAAAAAAAAAGAATTATTCCTAGTGCCTTTCCAGAATCAAATACATGGTAATTAATTTTAGTCACCATCTCGTACAATAGATCTCTTGAACTTATTACTCCTGTCTGACAAATAGCAAATTCTTAAAAGCCAGGTATGTATTCTTAAATCGGGTATAATCCTGTTACATATGTGAATAATCCCTACCTAAAATGAATCTGATAGTGTACCTGCCTAACAATGAGTAAAGGAACCCTGTTTACATGATATTCAGATAACATGAATTTAATTAGATTTTCTAAGGTAAACTCTATAACTGAAGTCAGTCATTGCATTGCCTGCCTGCAATCAGTATGTCTTAGACCTGCCTTTCCACTGGTCTTTCAAAAAGCTGGCAAGAGTCATTGAGATTATATAAATGGAAAATCAAATTTATATTTCAGTATTATGATAATTCTAGTACTTTTTAAAAAACTTTTTTGAATTGTCAGAGTGCATACACTCACCCGAGAGATAAGAGACAGAGAGAAAGCACCTCTACTAGAGCACAGTCATGCTGCAATTCCTTGTCTTCATTTTTCCATTTTGTTGGCATGCACACATGTTGGACATGTTTGTCAAGCCCCGGGGCCAGGACTGGTGTATCAGCCATGTGGAATCTGGCTTTCTAGTGCTTTCACAATGCTTAACTGTTCCACTGTGGAGCTAGCCTGGTCATTCTAGTTTTTAACTTTTAAATGTTTTGTCATTTTACAATCTTAAAAAGCAAATCAGTTGTGTTATGATCCTCCTTTTTTCATAAATATCCAAAAAACATAGGACCACAGAACTTTATTTTAAGCTGCATTTGATAATCTAATAAAATAAAATTCAAGTAATTACATACCTCTACATAGTTCCATTGTGGACAGATTGAATAATTTTGGAAATTTTATAAATGGAGTAAAGATGTTTAACACAAAAGGATTGAAACTACAATTCCAAAAAATTAAGTTTATAATTTTGTTCTTTAACAGCTGAGCTAGAGAATATAATTCAGGAACCAGATTCCTTGTGTTGTTTTATTCACTGTCACAAAATCCTTTTTCCAATTATTCAGAAAATTTGTGAAATTTTGAAAGAATAATTAAGAAAACTCTAGCTTATAGTGTTCACTGTAAAGTTTGTATTAATATATCCAAGCACTATCATTTTCAGTAATGGCATTTGATAAAAAAAAATAACTTAAATTGTAAAAAAGCAAAAATAAAGACGATTTCCCTCAGTTACGTCAAGATTCAGCTCAGAGTCAGAGTTATAAACAGCTGAAGACACTTAACAATCTGCAGTTCATTTTTTAGAGCACTTGAAGACCAAATTTCACTTTTTCCAAAATTTGGTGATGAATAGTCTTATGCAGCATTTTAATATGTGTGCGTTAAACAGATGCATATCATCTCAAAATAGCGAGTAGCACGTTACCTGTAAATAAAAATTGTCAACATTTGCAAAATATAAATGCATACCTTAAAAGAAACTTTGAAAAAGTTATACAAACTATTATATACATTTAATGTTTTTATTTGTGCAGGCTGCCTTAGAGAAGGAGTGGCTAGCTTTAGATTCTGCCTGCTTCCCTTCACAAACACTGTTTCTCTCAGACCAGCTGCAATGGCCAAAGGTAACATGTCATGGAAACTTCTGAGCTCTCGATCTTTGCTCATTTCTTAAGGTTATATGCTATGTTGTGGTGATTAATAATACAATTTATTGACTTGAAACACAGAATTACTTTTAGAAGCCTCTGACTTCCTCCTCATCCCCAGATGTAATTTTTCATGTAGCTTTTCTTTCATTTGCTCCTAATTTTTTTCTTTATTTTGGATTTCTTTCAACACTTTATTTCACAGTAGCATGTGTTGTTTTATTCACTGTCACAAAATCCTTTTTCCAATTATTCAGAAAATTTGTGAAATTTTGAAAGAATAATTAAGAAAACTCTAGCTTATAGTGTTCACTGTAAAGTTTGTATTAATATATCCAAGCACTATCATTTTCAGTAATGGCATTTGATAAAAAAAAATAACTTAAATTGTAAAAAAGCAAAAATAAAGACGATTTCCCTCAGTTACGTCAAGATTCAGCTCAGAGTCAGAGTTATAAACAGCTGAAGACACTTAACAATCTGCAGTTCATTTTTTAGAGCACTTGAAGACCAAATTTCACTTTTTCCAAAATTTGGTGATGAATAGTCTTATGCAGCATTTTAATATGTGTGCGTTAAACAGATGCATATCATCTCAAAATAGCGAGTAGCACGTTACCTGTAAATAAAAATTGTCAACATTTGCAAAATATAAATGCATACCTTAAAAGAAACTTTGAAAAAGTTATACAAACTATTATATACATTTAATGTTTTTATTTGTGCAGGCTGCCTTAGAGAAGGAGTGGCTAGCTTTAGATTCTGCCTGCTTCCCTTCACAAACACTGTTTCTCTCAGACCAGCTGCAATGGCCAAAGGTAACATGTCATGGAAACTTCTGAGCTCTCGATCTTTGCTCGTTTCTTAAGGTTATATGCTATGTTGTGGTGATTAATAATACAATTTATTGACTTGAAACACAGAATTACTTTTAGAAGCCTCTGACTTCCTCCTCATCCCCAGATGTAATTTTTCATGTAGCTTTTCTTTCATTTGCTCCTAATTTTTTTCTTTATTTTGGATTTCTTTCAACAACTTTATTTCACAGTAGCAAAAAAAAAAAAAATGATTTGCTTCAGCTGTATATTTGGCAGTAGACTAAAATCACTAGTTGACGGCACTTTAAAAATACAAAAATATGCATTAAGAGGGCAACAGCTGAAGATGCTCAGTCAGAGGTCACTGGGCTGCAATATCAGTTATTTATTTGATAATCTTTGAAGTTTTTGTTTTCTGAGATTTGTAAAGATCTTTGCAATTAATCATTTTCTATATGTGAGCTATACCAAAAAGCATATTCTTTACTACTACAAGCAAAAGAGCATTTATGTATTTTCGATAAATTTCACTTTCTTATAATTTTATAATAAAGTTCCTTTAAGATCCTCCTGGTATGCATCTAAAGAAATCCAGTGTACATGCTAGAATTTTTTCAATTTATGCTAATTTCTATTTTTTCTGATAAGATCTCTGGAACCTTAAAATATGATGATACTTCAGATAATTTACCAAGTCAGCCAGCTCAAGCATGGCAATGTAATGAGAAAGAAAATTTATTTTCGTCAGATCACACAAAACGTAATAGGTAAGCCAAACCACTCTTTTAGAGGATCAACCTAGAATAGACAATAATATTACATTCCTTACAAAAATGGATGTGACTTTAATTTTTTAAAACATGAAACAATGTTTAGTATTAAATATATCATAATGACTTAATGGAGTTTCTAGTATAGGAGAAATGTGTGAGGTAGATGCATTGAAGCAACCACAGAACTTATGTGTCAGTGAAATAATGTAATTAATTATTTTAAATAAGTGGATCTTTAAATACTGTTATATAGGTAGAGATAAGGATTAAAATTAAAATCCCAGTGCTGCATTTCTTTTGACAGAAGGATTAAAATATGTTGTAAGTAATTGAAATGTAAACATTTTAAATTAATGGCAGACTTTTATTACTTTTCAAGATAAAGTTTTCCTGAAACTTAAATGGACCTTATTCTAAGTTTGAGACAACGTAAACAGCTTGCAGTTTTAAAAAGTGCTGAAATACTTAGGTTGTTTCAATTAAAAGGAGCTTTTTTTACCCCCATTGCTAGATCAGAACATAGAACTTTGTCCTGGACACCAGAATCAAAGACTAGTAGGAAGAATTTGCTAAAATCTGAAAAAGAGGAGAAAATTTCAGAAGAATGGTAAGTGGTTTATTTTATACTAAAAACATTACAAAATGAAGGGACTGATAATTGTACAAGGCTGATTTTTCAGGGTTTTTAGAATACCTTGATTAGTTTTTAAGAAATTATATATCTGATTTGATTAAAATTTCCTAAGTAGAAATCCAAACTTATATTACTATAAGTCAGATATGTGATTTGATTAAAATTTCCTAAATGGAAAGCCAAACTTATATTACTATAAGTCAGATATGAGTGTTTATATGTATATGCACCTATAAATATGGTCTGGATATTTGTTTTGCCTTGATTAATTTTATTCTTTTTATAGGGGCTTTAAGGATATTTCTACTGCTCAGCAAATGCTGAAGAGGGCACAGAAAATGAAATCAAAGAAATTTAAAAAAAAATTAGGTGAGTGATTAATGCTCTTTGAATAATAAATATGTATGTAATATTGAAAATAAATTCTTTTGAAACTGCAGCTTCCCATCTTCCAAATTATATTTAGTAGGAATAAAAACAAATGTACAGATAAATATGTAAAGATAATTACTGAAAAAATAAACAAGAAAATTTACATAAAAGTATGATTTATTATACTCAGGTGTTAATTTTTCTCTCTGTTTCTTATCTACTTTGCTATAACTTTTGGGCATTGAGAATCATTTTATAATTTGTTTCTAAACTGGTTTATTTTGGGTAATATTGATTTTAAAAGGCAACTGCTTCATGTGTTTATTTCTTTGTGTGATTTATAACTGCTTGATTATTCAGTAAATTATATGAATTAACCAGCTCTATGGATTTTAGCTGTTACAACATGACACCTGGGAAAAGAAGTACAATTTATGTCTTTTATGATTTTGTAGAACTTGGGAAATGTTCAAAGACATCTTTTCTTCTATTCCACTTGCCAGGCTACTCTTCAAATCATTTGTCTTTCTTTGGACATGTCTAATGACTTTAATAAAATTACTTAACATATGGATAAATTTATAGATATAGTGCTTTATAAAGTGCTTTATATAGCGCGCTATAGCATATCTGTAAAACTACTTAAAATTGCCTGTAACTTCACGTTTACTTATAGCAGTATAAGTACATACTCATACAGGCTTAATATAAGCCACATAACTTTAAGAAAAAAAATGTTTTCGGTTCATTTTGTTCTTCAGTTTCATTTGTAAAGACCTTATTGTCAATAAATGTCTCCCTAAAAGTACCATTATTTCTGAGAAAAGCAAGAAACCTATATTTACCCCAGAGTTTTAGCTTGTTAAATATACAAAGAAGTATTTAATTTTTATTTTTACCTTTATTCATTTTTCTATTTATTATTTTAAGTATGATTCTAAGAACCATAGTTTCTCATTCAAAAAATAAATAAAGTTAAGCAGAATATTGTTGATTTCCAAAGAATAACTGATATTTTTGGCCCATCATTCATTTCCCATTGATTAATTACTGGTGATTCATTTTTATATCCAGAAATGTTCAACTTTTCTTTCTTGGTGTTACATTGGTGATATCTTAATTTTATCTATTATCTTTCTGACATAATTATTTTCCATTGTGTACTAAAATTTGTCAGGTTAAAAATATTGAAATTTTAAGCATTTTTAAGGAAAATATTGTGGCGGTGTGTTTTTCAGCCAATCTTTGTCTTCTGTATTCTCATTTTGTAAATTTTTATTGATTATTATGGTTCCATGGAATAACAACTCAGAACCCTATGCAAGAGTGAGTCTCTTGGTTCTGAGGATGTAGGAGCCATATAGTAAATCTGGATTGTTTTATAAACTCTTTTATTGCTTTGCTATATATTTACCCATCCTCGATAGTATCACAAAACATTCTTTGGACTGTTGTTTTAAGAATAAAAATAAAAATTGCTGAAAGTTTTGGGCAAGTTTAAATATAAGAAGTTTAAAATCTGATTCAGTCCATCTTTGACAAATTTATGCTCAAGAAATTTTGCTATTGTATTTTTTAAAAAGATGTTAAAAACGTTTGCAAAAGTCTCTAGTAGTGAAAGCCGAGGAAAAGTTTATCTTGGCAAACTTTCTGTATGATTCTATACCTGGAAAGAGATGGATTTTACTGGAACGTTCTTGAAACTAAGGGGTTTTATTTTGTTTTGTTTAGGTTGAGTATTTTTGACAAATCAGAATAAAAAATAATTAGCAAAGGAATTAATAAGGAATATACACACTCACCCATAAAATTATTTCCTTAATAACCATTATTATACATAATTATCAGGCAAAAAATTAAGACTCTATCAGTCACAAGGGGGCATGGTAGGGTAACAAATGAAAAAGGATGACTAGTCAGCCAATTTGAAAATCCCTTCTCGAACTTAATGTTTTGATAGTGGTCATTAACTATGACCCATAAAATATGATAATAATCCTAAATGGCAATTGTATAATTTTTAGGGGGATTATTGCTCCAATTACGTGATTGTAATCCAGATTGTATTATTACTATGTGAGGTTTATATCTCCATGGTACAATTTTATTTTGCTTTTATAAATCAAAATATTAATAAGACAAAAGCATTTTTCTTTAAAACTCAAATGTTGAAATGCATATTTTAATCATGAGCTTTATATGCTCTTTGCTCTTTTCCTCTACTCTTCCTTTGCAACAGATATACAGGTGAGAAATATTCAAGCAGGATAAAAGTAAAAAACAAAAACATTAAAAAGAAAATCAGAAGGGATCCTCTTCAGTTATCATATTTTTTTCTCCTATTAGGCTGATGATGTGGAATTTATGTTATTGTATATATGTGAGTAATCATTTAGGACTGAGTGTCCCAGGTTTTCTTCTCATAGAATAAAACATTTTATAGTAGCCTACGTATTGTAATTCAATCTGGATTTGCTATTAATTTATTTTAATCTGTCCAAACTAAGGCTATAATTTTGAAATTTTAACTTATGAGCTAAATAATCTTTTAAATACTTATATTCTGATAAACACTTAAAATTTTACTAGTAATTTGAAAATACATACGGAGATAGGTATGTTGTCAACTTGTAATTTCTGAGCCACCAGAGGGCACCATTGTCCATAAAATGTTAACCAGCCCTAGGGGGTTAGGGAGGACAGCAGAAGTGTCAGAGAATGACCATCAATTCCCATTTGAATTGAATAATAAATTATTTAAATTATGTTCTACAATCTGACAAAGGAGTGATCCTCAAGGAAGTGCGATTTAAATACAAAGAGTAAGGAAGCTTTAATTCAAATTTCTAACCTGAAAAACCTTACAGTGATTTGCTCAGTAGCAAGTGCTTAATAATTTTCACTCTATAATGTGGACATAGTGTTTTTAGCCAAGGTATATGAATTGACAGGATTTTAAGGTGAGAATGGAAATAGGGAAAAAGGCAGAGAGTAAATTAAGGAAATACAGTGTAATGGAATAGGTTGCGTGGAGGAAGAATATTACTGAAGAAGCCAAGGAATTCAGCAACTGAGGAAACCTATGTGGTTGGTCATCTGTTGGGGGAAATGCAATATTCGTGACTTGTGTTGGTCTAAGTGAGGCCATCTGCTTTACAGAGGAGGAGCAGAAGGAATAGCCCGGGGAGGGGAAAGAAGAATTGATTGGAAGCCAGAAGATGAAATCTATTAATAAAATTGTAAGAGGTTATCATGATTTACTGTTTATGTTTGGGTTATGGTAGTTGTTTCTTCTAGTGAATAATTGCTATTTCCCTCATGACTGACATGAGCTTGAACCAATAATGACTGCTTTTGTTTTTGTGGGATTTTTGTTTGTTTTTTACTGCTGTCTTTGCATACAGAAGTACTGTAATTTTAGAATTGGGTGACACGTGTTGGAATTTAGCAAATACTTAGGGAGACTTAGAACTCAGTACTGCAATAAAGAACATCACGTGTAAGGTGAGAGTTACTGGTTTATTGAAAACATACAAGGTCAGTAACCTAAGGGCAATGAGCATAATTGGTAGCAAGACTTAGATGAACTGAATGGCGAAAGGAGTGGGTGATTGGTTTCCATGGAGAGGATGAGGTCTGAGTGTAGAGCAGCTGGTAAGAAATTGAAGGACTATGAATATAGCATGAAGAGGTAATACAGTTTCTCTACATTTACTGTGTTTATGCATATCAAATTTAAATTTGTACAGCTAAAGGAAGCAAGATGAAGCAATCAGGGTTAATTTAGATGTAAAGGCAAAGCCACAAGAATCCTTAAACGTTGGTCATCTGTAGCCGTTTGTAACACCCCGCAGTTGTTAATTGCACACTAAGCATTTGATAAATAGTTGTTGATTTTATTTCCATGAAGAAAATAGCTGGAGACTAACAGTTTTTATTTTAAGAGTGTCTCACCAAGTTGTGGTTCTTGTGTCTTGTCCCACCTGGGACTACAGGTGTGTGCCATCACTCATGGTGCTTTTTTGAGACACAGCCTCACTTTGTTGCCCAGCCAAGCTCATGCTCACACTTCTGCTGCCTCAGCTTCAGTGGCTGGTACCACAGGTTCACAGCCACTGCTTCTGACCTTTAGGTTGGATTGGGAATTGACTCTGGCCTCCCATGTGGTCTCACTGACAGAGCACAGCATCTTAGCTACATGTCTGCCAACATGGATAGACCTGTGTTGGTAACATTTAATAATAATAGTCAAGAATTAAGCCAGGTAGAAAATTTTAAAAAGTTATTCTTTATGTAAATAAATAGCAAAATCATGAGCTTGCGGGACCAGCAGATGGTAGTACTGGTTACGTTGCTGGACTCCTACGTAGTTGAGCACCATTAAAGTCCTGGACCTGATGGCTTAAAACTCACACCAGGCATGTGTGTATGTGTGCCCAAAATCCTGAGAGGAGAATGGAGAAGGGATTGTGGTGTGGCCATGTCCCCTGGGGGGTGATTTCTCACTTTCTGTCTCTCTGGCAAGCACACACTCCCAATAGCAAAAATCTCTCTCATAAAAAAAAAACAAAATCAGTTTGTAAAATGATGATATAACGAAGGAATGTTAAGGGGAAGGGCCTCAAAGAGAATACAATAGTTAATGTGCCAGCAAAATTAAGTTTATTCAAGGTGATTGTTTACCTCACAAATCTCAATAGTTATAGAATATCCGAAATAATTTCAAGAATTTTGATGAAATGTTATTTTGTTGTGCCCTTAGTAAAATTATAATGAAACTCATTTTACTAGTAAGATACTTGAAGGGGGACCCCACTTCTTCCCTGTTGTAGTCCCAGAATCTATTACACCTAGCACCTAGTAGATTCAATAAATCACAGTTAACTAACTCAAAAATAAATAAAAGTCACTGATGTGTATAACTGTTTGTGTGTATTTTACTCATGTAGATATATATTTATATGTATGAAGGCTAATTTAAATTAGTAAGTAGTGGG